AAATTGACCATAAGTGTGAGGGTTGGATTTCCAATTTTATTCCTTTGAACTTTGTCTCTATCCTTATGCCAGTACCATATTTTCGTAATTGCTGTAGTTTTGAAGTCAGAAAGTGTGAGTCCTCCAATTTTGTCTTTCTTTTTCTTTTTACTTTTCTTCTTTCTTTCTTTCTTTCTTTCTTTCTTTCTTTCTTTCTTTCTTTCTTTCTCTCTCTCTCTCTCTCTTTTTCTTTCTTTCTTTTCTTTTTTTCTTTCTTGACAGAGTCTTGCTCTGTTGCCCAGGTTGGAGTGCAGTGGCACGATCTTGGCTCTCTGCAACCTCCGCCTCACAGGTCCAAACAATTATTCTGCCTCAGCCTCCCAAGCGGCTGGGATTACAGGCACCAGCCACCACACTCAGCTAATTTTTGTATTTTTAGTAGAGACGAGGTTTCTCCATGTTGACCAGGCTGGTCTGGAACTCCTGACCTCAGGTGATCCACCCACCTCAGCCTCCTAAGTGCAGGTATTACAAGTGTGAGCCACCATGCCCGGCCATTGTCTTTCTTTTTCAAAATTGTTTGAGCCATTCTGGATTCTTTACATTTCCGAGTTAATTTTAGGATTAGCTTTTCAATTTCTGCAAAAAAAGCCAGCTGGGATTTTGATAGGGGTTACATAAAAGCTTTAGATCAGTTTGGGGAGTATTGCCATTTTAACGATATTGTCTTCTGATCATGAACATAGAGTATGTTCTATTTATTTTACCTGTACTTAATTCTTAATTCTTTTACCTGCTTTATTTCTTTTTTAAATTTTTAAATTTTTTTTTTTAATTTTTGAGATAAGGTCTTGCTCTGTCACCCAGCCTGGAGTACAGTGATGTGATCTCAGCTCACTGCAGCCTCAACCTCCCTGGGCTCAAGTGATCCTCCCACCTTAGCTTCCTGAGTAGCTGGGACCACAGATGAGCACCACCATGCCTGCCTAATTTTTGTATTTTTTGTAGAGGCGGGGTTTCATCATGTTGACCAACTCCTGGGCTCAAATGATCTGCCCGCCTTGGCCTCCCAAAGTGCTGGGACCCAATCCCAAGCATGGACCACTATGCCCATCCTACATGCTATCTTTTTTTTTTTTTTTTTTTTTTTGAGAGGAAGTCTCGCTCTGTCACCCAGGCTGAAGTGCAGTGGCCAGATCTCAGCTCACTGCAAGCTCCGCCTCCCGGGTTTATGCCATTCTCCTGCCTCAGCCTCCCGACTAGCTGGGACTACAGGCGCCGGCCACCTCGCCTAGCGAGTTTTTTTTTTTTTGTATGTTTTAGTAGAGACAGGGTTTCACCGTGTTAGCCAGGATGGTGTCAATCTCCTGACTTCGTGATCCGGCCGTCTCGGCCTCCCAAAGTACTGGGATTACAGGCTTGAGCCACCGCGCCCGGCCCTACATGCTATCTTAAATGGAATTTTATTAATGTCCTTTTTGTTTGCTCATTGCCACTATATAGAAATACAGTTGATTGGCTGGGCGAAGTGACTCACACCTGTAATCCCAGCACTTTGGGAGGCTGAGGCAGGTGGATCACCTGAGGTCAGGAGTTTGAGACCAACCTACCTAACGAGGAGAAACCCTGTCTCTACTAAAAATACAAAAATTAGCCAGGTGTGGTGTTGCGTGCCTGTAGTCCCAGCTACTCAGAGGCTGAGGCAGGAGAATAGCTTGAACCCAGGAGCCAGAGGTCGCAGTGAGCGGAGATTGCGCCACTGCACTCCAGCCTGGGAGGCAGAGTGAGACTCCATCTCAAAAAAAAAAAAAAAAAGAAAAGAAAAAAGAAATACAGTTAATTTTTGTACATTGATCTTACATCCTGCAAACTTGCTGAACTCGGTTATTACTTTTAATAGTTTATTAATAGATTCCTTAGGGTGTTCCATATACAAGATGTCATCTGCAAATAGAGATAGTTTTATTTCTTCCTTTCCAGTTTGAATGCTCTTTATTTCATTTTCTTGCTTAATTGTCCTGGCTGGCATCACCTGTACAATGTTCAGTATAAGTGGTGAGAACAGACATCCTTATCTCATTCCTGATCTAAGGAACATAGAGAAAGTATTCAGTCTTCGACCATTTATTTTCTTTTACAATTTTTTTTTTTGAGACAGAGTCTTGTTCTGTCACCCAGGCTGGAGTGGCGCAGTCATGGCTCACTGCAGCCTCAACCTTCCAGGCTCAAGTGATCCTCCCACTTGAGCCTCTTGAGTAGCTAGGACTACAGGCGTGCACCAGCCAATTTTTTTAAATTTATTTTTTGTAGAGAGGGGATCTCTCGATATCATCTAGGCTAGTCTCAAAACTCCTGCCCTTAGGTGATCCTCTTGCCTCAGCCTCCCAGAAGGTTGGGATTACAGGCATGAGCCACCATGCCTGGCCAGGCTTTAATCATTAAGTACAATGTTAGCTGTGGGTTTGTGTTAATGCTTTTTATTTATTAGTTTGAGGAAGCTTCCTTCTATTCCTAGTTTGTCGAGAATTTTTATCTCGAAGGGCTGTTGAATTTTGTTGATGCTTCTTCTGTGTCTAGTGAGATGATCATGTGGTTTTTTTCCTTTATTCTATTGTTATGATATATTACATAAATTGAATCTTAGATGCCATTTATTTTTGCCTTTTAATTCAGCTTCCCATTTCCTCTTTCGTTAGCATTCAAAGGACCCTAGTGGAACCCATTAAATCACATATGCAATAGATACAATGCAGAACTTGGATGCTGATGGTGGTCCTTTGTGAAATATTCAATTTCCAGGGCTTTGTATCTTGTCAAAAGTCCTAGAGATGGCTGTTTAGGATTTTTTGTTTGGTGTTTTTTTGTTTGTTTGTTTTTGTTTTTGTTTTTTGAGACGGAGTCTTTCTCTATCACCAGGCTGGAGTGTAGTGGTGCAGTCTCAGCTCACTGCAACCTCCAACTCCCTGGTTCAAGTGATTCTCCTGCCTCAGCCTCACAAGTCTACAGGGGTCTACAGGGGTGTGCCACTATGCCCAGCTAATTTTTGTATTTTTAGAGAGAGGGGGGTTTCACCATGTTGGCCAGGATGGTCTCAATCTCCTGACCTCATGATCTGCCCGCCTTGGCCTCCCAAAGTGCTGAGATTACAGGCATGAGCCATCGCGCCTGGCCTAGTGTTGTTAAATGATGTGAATATAAAACAAATTTTTAGGTGTATTTATCCAACTATATAAATTCATAGCAATATTTTGATAGTATATATCAGGGTCCCCAACCTTTTTGGCACCAGGGACTGGTTTCGTGGAAGACAATTTTTCCATGGACCAGGGGTCGGGGGATGGTTTGGGGATAATTAAAGAGCATTAGATTTATTGTGCACTTTATTTCTATTATTATTACATTGTAATATATAATGAAAAAATTATACAACTCAGCATAATGTAGAATCGGTGGGAGCCTTGAGCTTGTTTTTCTGCAACTAGATGGTCCCATCTGAGAGTGACAGGAATCAGTGACAGATCGTCAGGCATTAGATTCTCATAAGGAGCACAAAACGTAGATCCCTCACATACACAGTTCACAATAGGGTTTGTGCTCCTATAAGGATCTAATGCTGCCACTGAACTGACAGGAGATGGAGCTCAGGTGGTAATGGAAGTGATGGGGACCAGCTGTAAATACAGCTGAAGCTTCACTTGCTTACCTGCTGCTCACCTCCTACCATATGGCCCTTTATTTAGAATTCCATAATTATCAGATCACTGAGGAAATAAGGTTCCTTTATGTGGCCTAGGGGTTGGGGACCCCTGATATATATGATACAGTTTCATATTACAGGCACAATTTTTGGAGGTGGAAAATTTTAACTATATTATTTATATGCTTTTGGGGGATGACAAACCTTTTGTGCAGAATAAAATGTGTAGCTAGTATTTCTGGCAGTTGTAATCACTATCAGTGTATTTTGTCTTTGAAAATTTGTAGCCCCCCCAATTTCTTCCTTCAACATATCATGATTTGTTTCATATTATGAATTTCCATCATGTCCCTATTTTATAATGTATGTTCACATTAATTGCAGTTCCCGTCTCTTGAAGACGTTTTTCTTTCCCATGTGGGTTCCTTCACTTGGTTGTATTGTCATTTTCATTGATGATGCATCTGCTAATTAATGTTTCTTTGAATGCCTGCCCTTTTGTTTTTGATTTTTGCAGTTCAGCTCTATTTTTTATTTCGGCTCTATTCATTGGTATTTTTTTGTAGCTTCTATTGGCCTGTGACCTTCTGTGACTTATTTATAATATTTACATATTTATGAAATTGACAGTCCAGGCCGGGTGCGGTGGCTCACCCCTGTAATCCTGGCACTTTGGGAGGCCGAGGCAGGCAGATTGTCTGAGCTCGGGAGTTCAAAACCAGCCTGGACAACATGATGAAAACCCATCTCTACTAAAATACCAAAAATTAGCTGGGTGTGGCGGCGTGCACTTGTAGTCCCAGCTACTCAGGAGGCTGAGGCAGGAGAATCGCTTGAACTCGGCGGGTGAAGGTTGCAGTGAGCCGAGATGACGCCACTGCACTCCAACCTGGGCAACAGAGTGAGACTCCATCTCCAAACAGAAAAAGAAAGAAATTTACAGTCCATCCTCTGCCATTAGTGATAATTAGTATGTAAATGTTTACTTAAAATGATTTAGAAAATAGTTATTTCTTATGGCTAATATAGGTGATAGTTTTCTAAATTCATAGCAAGGTCTTGGATTATTAAAACATGTCACCTACAGGTATATATAAAATTTTAGTTATTTATTCTGGTAACATATACAAAATATAAATTTTACCATCTTAACTATTATAAAGTATACAGTTCTGTGGCATTAAGCACATTCACATTGTGCCAAAACTGTAAAGTTTTTAAAAAGAAAACAATACCCATTTCTCAATCCTTCTGATTTTCCTTTCTCCCATAGTACATCCCATAGTACATTTTTTCTGTTTTATCAACTTTCCTTTTCTTTTAGATGCTGAAGAGTTTCTGGCAGAAGGTTTGCGGAATGAGAACCTCAGCGCTGTTGCAAGGGATCACAGAGACCATATTCTACGGGGCTTTCAGCAAATCAAAGCCAGGTTTGTATAAACTGGTTCCATTAATCTTCTTCATAAGCTTTAAAACAATTTATAATCAGTAAAATAAAGTCACAAGGTAAGACATACATATCATACCTATCATAGTTCTTTATACTTGACAGAAACTTAATAAATATTTGCTGAATTGAATTGGATGCAGGCAAGCATAGTTAGTGTAGTTTACCAAAATAAAAATGTTTTGATAATTATGTATGTATCTTGAGGTAATTATTCTGCTTTTAGCTTTGGATTTTTATGTTAGCCTTCATTGACCACTTTTGCAGTTAACTAAAAAATGGTGAAAGATAAACATTTATGCATGTCCAAATTATTAATGAGAAAGTGTTAGGCAGTATGAGATAATGTTCATTATGATTTTTGGTACTGATTTTACTTCCACATCTCCTTCCCTCATAGAAAACTTAAATGAAACTTATCAAGTCAATTCTTTGACCATATTGGGATGTTTTATTCCTGGACTGGGTTAAAATATGTTCATTTTTTAAAAATAAGAAGCCCTGACCTAATTTGTGCATTTTAGAATGTGAGCATCTGACAGATGCAAACACTTGCTTGGGGGAGGAAAAAATAAAAATTTTCCTTTATAATATATTTTCTGACCACCTATTGCTTGAAATGGGTAACTGAATGAGGGCAAGGGATAAGTGAGTGTTCCTTTAGCTTTTTCAAACCTGGTGGCAATGTGATTCAGAATGTTTAAACTGAATATTCTTAGCAAAGGAAGAGCATCTGCAGGGTTATGGTTGAGATTTAATTTGTGTGGCTGACCGTTCTTAGTATCTACTCTAAAAACCTCATTGAAACTCCGTAGAAACAGAGAATTTTATCCTTCGGAAGGGCACAGCCAGAATCTATTCCGTTCAGGAATGTGAGAGAACCTCATGAGATGCCCTGCTGGATCTTAATCGATCTTTCCTGCTGGCTAATTAAGCATCACTTTTACTCAGCAACTGGGGACTGTGTAATTATCAGCCTGGGTTGCCCTGAATAATTGAAACAAACAGAATGCAGAAGATGGGAGTTTTTTGCAAAAGTGGGAATATCTATAATTTTTGGTAGGTTGAAAGAGTGTTTAAAACAAAGTTCTCCATAATGTTATTTTATTAATAGATAAGTTTAGGCTTAGTTATGTACCTGGAGACTTAGTAAATTATAGAATTTTTTTAATTTCACAAGTTTGCCTTTGTGTTTTATGATTACTCTAAGGGTGGCATGTGGAATAAAGATGGAATTATTTTAAATTTGGAGAGGAATGACCTAAATATAATGGTGTATCTGGTGATTCTATTGGTATAAATCTTTGATAAGGAATGCAAAAACACTTTTACTGCAGCTGTAGGTACAAATATACAATGAGGAGAAATTCTTTCCTGTATTTTTACCACAGCATTGAGAAAGGACTACATTTCAATCTTAATTTGGTAATAAAAGGCAATTTATGGTAACTCATTACTGTCAGCTGAATATTATTATACTTCTTAATCCTCTTTTAAAATATATACACACATGCACACACATGCATGAACACACACAGAAGCTGAATTTGTCATGGGGTAGAGTCAGTTTCTTGTTCTCAAATTCTTGTTCTCAAAGAACTTTCTGTGTGGTTTGTGGGGTAGACATTCAGGAAATAATCAGCAGGAGCTTTAGGAAATATCTGCATTGTTGATGGGAGCTTTCTGTTCATTGACTTGTTGCAAGAAAGATGACACTTTATTTAGAATTTCATAATTTTCAGATCACTGAGGAAATGAGGAGCCAGAAATTAGATACTGTACAAGAAAATGGAAAAATGAGGCTTTCCTTTGGCAAGCTGTTTGAAATTGCCTTACATCCACCCATTCAATCATCACTCTGTTAATGTAACCCTTGTTTTCCTGAATCCTCTTCTTCAGCCATATCACCTCTATTGTGCCATTTATGGCTGCCACATTTACTTACGTTATGTGGCAGTTATATGTCCCCCAAAAAGCTTGGCATGAAAAGAAATTTAGAAGTCATCAAACTTAAGAGTTAAACGTGTATGGCAGGCTAAATGCAGTGGCTTACCCCTATAATCCCAGCACTTTGGGAGGCTGAAGCCAGAAGATCCCTTGAGGCCAGGAGTTTGAGACCAGCCTGGGCAATATAACAAAACTCTATCTCTACAAAAAATAAAATTAGCCAGGTGTGGTGGTGTATGCCTGTGGTCCCAGCCACTTGGGAGGCTGAGGTAGGAGGATCACTTGAGCCCAGCAGGTTGAGGCTGCAGTGGGCCATGATCATGCCACTGCGCTTCAGCCTGGGCAACTGAGTGAGACCTTGTCTCAAAAAAAAAAAAAAGTAAAAATTAAGCATGTGGCAAATACGTGAACCATACGGTAACACAAAAATAATTAAAATTAATGAAGGTCATTTAAAAGATTTTATTTTTAGTCTTTTTTTGTTTGTTTTTCCTTTTTTTTTTTTTTTTTTTGAGACAGAGTCTCACTCTGTGGCCAAGACTGGAGTGCAGTGGCACAATCACAGTTTGCTACAGCCTCAACCTCCTGGGCTCAAGCGATCCCCCGACCTCAGCCTCCTGAGTAGCTGCACACCACCATGCCTGGCTAATTTTTTACTTTTTGTTGCCCAGGCTGATCTGGAACTCTTGGACTTAAGCAGTTCTCCTGTCTTGACCTCCCAAAATGCTGAGATTACAGGCCTGAGTCTCTGTGCCTGGCCTATTTTTAGTCAGATTAAAACAATAATATTTTAGGAGTTTGGTAAATTTGGGGAGGTGGTAACCTATCTAAAACTATAAATTTAGCACTTCAAGGCTTATTTGGAAGGTAGATAAATCTCTAGCAAGATAATCTGGAAAAGCCACTACTAGATAAACGTGAATTATATATTTACACATACACATATATGTATTTTACAACTTCCCACTCTCTTTGTTTCCTTGCTTCCTTTAATTCTTTCCTCAACATGTATTGCTCTAGAAACAAAAGGGTGGAGAGAAATAAAAATAGCACTGCCTTTGATTCTTGGTAAACTTTAGGGGCTTAGCTCTTACTTTTATGGCTGGCTTGGAATTCACTGGTATTTGCCATGGTTGTGGACTTGCTGTAAATGGATGCATCTGACTCCATCACAGCTGTTATAATGTGTTTTTTGCTATTTTCTGTTGTCTAGAGTGAATGACCACAGGAAAAGACAGTTGTGTCAAGAATCATGAGTGTTCTCCAAGTGCTCATCTGTTTTTCAGTACAAATCACTTTAGCTATTCTGTTTTTAGACTTAGAAACAAAAAATAGCTATCTTTTTTTAGACTTAGAAACAAAAAATAAAATCCTATCTATATTTACATACTTTTGTTTTGTTTTTTGCTTGAAAGTGTCACCAATGAAAGCTAATATTTTCCATGTAACACAAAATAAAAACGGATAGCAATTCTGTGATTCCAAGGAAATGAAGCCCTGTTGTGGTATTGATGTCCTAAGCTGTGATTTTCATTGCTGTTCTTAAAAACTAAACAGCTTTCACATTCCAAGTCCAAGTTTTCATTGAGCCCTTTGGAGAATGAGTAGGATAAAAGCCAGGCAAAGGCACTTCCTGCTTTATTACAGTGGTCACTGCAGAATTAGCACCAGATGTGAGACACCTGGAATGAAGCAGTCGTGATCTACGCTCAGACACTTGATGGCATTCTAATGCATTGGGAGAAACAGTAGAGCATTTTTTAAATGCTTGATTCAGTGGAGGCCATCTGACAGCAAGAATACGTTGAAAGTGGGGGAAGTGATAAAGAAAATATAATTTTTGTTTTGTTTTTTTTTTTGAGACCAAGTCTCTGTTGCCCAGGCTAGAGTGCAGTGGTGTGATCTTGGCTCATTGCAACCTCTGCCTCCCAGGTTCAGGCGATTCTCATGCCTCAGCCTCCCGAGTAGCTGGGATTACAGGCATGAGCCGCCACGCCTGGCTAAATTTTTTTGTATTTTTAGTTTCACCATGTTGGCCAGGCTGGTCTCTCCTGACCTCAGGTGATCCACTCACCGTGGCCTCCCAAAGTGCTGGGATTACAGGAGTGAGCCACCATGCCCAGCCGAAAATAGAATATTTTTATTATTGAGATATGGCTTAATTTCTCTCTTGATGGCCCTTTTTGGATAACTAGTCATTTATGCTCCCTGTTGGAAGTGAAGGACAGAGTCAATGGAAGCAAACTTGGAGTATTGTTTCCTTCTGTGAAACTTAGTAATGCTAAAGGAGTTCCAAAAAGAGACCAGGAGATTTATATCATATTGAGATGGAAGGAAATAAAGAAATACCTTTTGTGTGACAGGGTTCTGGCACCAAACTCAGGACATTTAAAGTACAGGCTGAAAGAATATCTTGAACACGTCTCATTGTGGGTGGCTAACCTATAGCTCTGTGTGAAACGTGATATACTAGTAAAATCTCATAAAAATAATTCTGACGTTCTTTGGGAATTTCATGTTTTCTTTTCACCTTAACATGGATTTAGCTTTAAAGCAAGATTTAGCTTAAGAATGTATAATTCTGATATTTTTGTATTCTAGCAAGAAAGACAAGGAGTTAGCCTGATAAAACTCTTGGGAGCAAGAGTTTTGAAGTAGTATACTATAAATATAATCACCATTGATTATATAGAGAGTTTTACTTTTCTTAAATGTTAATTATTGAGCTTAAAAACCCCTAAAACAAAACACATTCAAATGAAGTATACTTATCAAAAGAACTAATGTATAATGTGCTATTAGTACATTTGTGTTATTCACAAGTTTCAAGATTTGCTCATAACATCTTTTTCTATTCTTTAATTTTGCTACTTGTACTGGAGCTTCAGTGCAAATGCAGAAAAAAAAAAAGTAGGAGGTACTTGCATGATCCGTCTAAGTTTAAATAGCTCTGAAAAGGCTCAAAAGTCATAGCAATAATTTGACCACATCTGGAAAGTTAATAACTCATTGCTTCCTTTTTCAGTCCTATCCCTC